TTTAACCTGTTGACAATGTAAGCCCTATTTATGTTGTGTTGCAGGGGTACTGCTGTCTTAAAACATTCTTCTATGTACATGCATTTTTCAATCTTAACTTATAAATGTTAGTCTGAAACATTTTACGTTTCGCAGGCTTGAAGTGACATTACAAAACAATAGTGTAATGTGCGCCTTACTGTAACCCATAGTTGTTTCCCTTCTCTTTGCTGCTCTTCCTTTTAAATCTGTATCTCTTCTCATGCTGGGGGAGAACTTCTGCTTTGCAGCAGACTGCCTTGTCTCTGGAATGGATACATATCTGTGTGTGTCTATAGACGCACATAGCTACTCCGGGCACAAGCGTGCACGGGTGCCCCCATTAGCCGATGGAGACACCTGTGCAGGGGGTGGGGGGAAGAGCGCGGCGGGGACCAACTTGACTCAAGGAATGTAAAACTTTTAAAGAATAACAACAGTCTCAGGCAAAGGTGGGCCTTCTTGTAGCAAATATATTTTAAAAAAGGAAGCTTTAATATCACATTATGCAAGTTTTGAAGCATTTGTAAACAGCTCTTCCTGAAATCTGCTGATTGCTGGCTAAAACCATAGCCAGCACTCCTATTAAGCTCTGCATACAACACGACCTGAATGGAGCTGAAAGATGTTTAAAGGGTTTCAAGAAAGCTGCTTAATACTGTCTGGATCCGCCCAGCTGCGGGATTGACAGCTGGCTCAGCCTATCTAGAGGCAGAGCCAGCTGTGCCCGCCCCCTCCCCCGTCCGTTCCGCCAGTCAGCGCTGGAGGATCGGAGCGGGGAGGGGGGGGAATCCCTGCAGGGAGCCGTGAGTAACAGTCACGGCTTTCTGCAGGGATAGATCGAGAAGTGAGCCAGCGACGGTATGTGTTCGCTCACTTCCCGATCTACTGAGCCCACCTGTGACAGTCTCATTGTCACAGGTCGGCTCAGATTATGAGGCTGAGTGAAAATCACTCGCCTCATAATTCTCCTTTAATGATTAGATTGTAAGCCCTCAGGGGCAGGGCCCTCCTTACCATCTTGTCTTGTGATTGTAATGTCTTCCTTATATTGTAAAGCGCTGCGCAAACTGCTGGCGCTACATAAATCCTGTATAATAATAATAACATGGTAAGGAACTGTTCTTTTTTGATTAGAGAAGAAACAGCCATGTCGTAACCAATGTAACCAACCACTGATCAAGTCTAACAGTTCTAATTGCTCCAAATTGATAAGATGGGAAAGCTTTATTGTGTAGGTTGTTGATATTTGCATATAATGAGAACGCAGCCCAGGGACTCTCTCGCCCTGAACTATTTTGTGCCCTCACTACATCATACTACTTGGCAGCAGAACAAGGAAGCTGATATAACACCATGGATGCAGAGATTTGTTGCTGAACTATGACATGCTAGTTATGTGTTCAGATATTTTATTTTTGTCTTAAAGTGACATTAAACCATCAGATTTTTTTTTACATAAACCAATACTGTAATGTGCGCCTTACTGTAATCCATGGTAGTTTCCCTTCTCTTTGCTGCTCTTCCTTTTAAATCCTCATGTCTTCTCATGCTTGGGGAGAAATTCCCTTTGCAGCTCAGGGCCTCTTCCTGTAGTGCTGGCTCAGGTTACAAACCTATACACAGACACCGTATATCCATTCCTGAGACAAGGCAGTCTGCTGCAAAACAGAAGTTCTCCCCCAGCATGAGAAGAGATAGGGATTTAAAAGGAAGAGCAGCAAAGAGAAGGGAAACAACCATGGATTACAGTAAGGCGCATATTACAGTATTGTTTTATGTTAAACAATCTGAGGGTTTAATGTCACTTTAAGGGAGAGTCACGCACAGGTCCTAATTTTTTTTTTTTAAACATGTGGCTGTAAGACACGGTAATGCCACAAACGGCAAATGTTTTCTTGCAGATAACATTGAAGAAAAAACGGTTGTCTTTGGTATACATCGCCTGAAGTAATAACAATCCACTGTACAAGCGGAGCTTGCAAAGATTATTATCTCTAATGAAGTATGAATAAAAACCTGGTACTCCCCCCACCACCTTGTATGATTTAATTGAATTGGCAGCATAGGCGGACGGGTACGGTAATTAGTGCATTCGGTGATGGTCGCATGTTTTGAGGTTAATTTCTTTTTCAACAAAAGCTGTGTTCCACTTGGATTGTCTCAGTATGTAGTTGTATTTGTTGCACTCTATGTAGCATCTATTCT